CAGTAGACTCAAAAAAAGGTACAAATACCAGATGTATATTATATCTGCAAAAACTGTAATGAGTTTATGACATGATGTCCTGCAGGTAGGTATGTAAAACAACCTATTTTCTTTATAGTGGTGCTAGAAGAGTTTACGTAGTAGAATCTCTGTGTGATTCTCTGCAGAGCATACTCAATAACCAGTTATTGACGGAACAGTACTTTGTTAGTGCTGCCAACTTAGGATTTCTTAGAGTCGCTTTGTAGGTGATTGGGCGTTTCTGCCGGGGATGCTCTGTTTCCTTAATTGAATTTTGGATTTCTTGACTCATGGATTTGAATAAGTTAAAAAATGGTTATCTTTTGTTTTTGTATTTTTAATTCTTTATGACTTTTCAAAATTCCCCTGGTTAGCCTTCTTTATCAAATTAGTAGTTTTCTGTAAAGCTTTAGAGAATTCTGAGCAAAGTGGATTGTGTATTCTTTAAGATAGAGAAGAGAGTTTGATGGAATCAGGTAGACTTTCATATGCATGCTTAGTTCACTTAAACATTTTCTGACTTTGTTTCTATAGAAAATGAATATTTCTGTTTTCTACTCATGTTCTGGTAAGAGTGACAAAGATCTGTAAGGTGTAGAGTGCTTTTGAGTTATTTGTTACAAGTTTTATTATCCTGTGGTCATTTTTATCACTTTTTAAATTGATTCTTTGGGAATTTCACACTATACACCCCATCCCACTCATTTCCCAGTCCTTCCATATCTGCTGTTCACCCTTGTAGTGTCTCCCTCCCAAAGGAATACTTAAAAAGAAAAAATGAAAAGAAATAAATAAAAAAATAACTAAGACTGTTAATTAAAGAAACAAAAACCAAAACAACAAAACCAGGTCACTCCTTCATCTTTCCTGCCTCTATATCGCCTCTACTGGTCTTAGTGGCATTGGGAGCTCTGGTGTATCACACAATATACGCTTTTGTTCACACAGCTTTACTTCCAAATGCTCATTGTGTAATACGTTATTAGTCAGGTTCAAGACCTCTGACTTCTGGTACACCATCAGTACTAAACCCTCACCAGAACTCCTCTTGGATATTCTACTTTTGCTCTGAGCCATGGAGATCCTGCAGCTATGGTTCTGCAGGACCATTCCCATCACAAGCTCCAGCAGGTTATAGATGGGGTAGATGTTGTGGAAATGCCAACTCAAAGCCCTGAATGTGTGCCTGGGTTGTAGCTAAGTTGATCAGTCAGAGCCATTGGACCACCTCCCTCAGATAAAGAGGTGGGGCCAGCTTTCCCAAATGGAGGGGGAAGCTCTCTAGTGCCAGGCTATTTATTCTAGGACAAGGGGTGGGTCAGCTCTTCCTTGAGATGGCGTGTCTCTTCTCAGGCCAGTGAGACGCAGGACCAGCTAAGCCAGGCCCTAGTACTTCCACCCATGGTTCAGTTCATGGTTTATAGGTCCCTGTGGTAACATGGGCAACAGACATCAACACAGACCCTAGCTGCAGCAGGACCGTGGACCTAGACGTGCGTGACCAGCAGCAGCAGCAGCTTTGGCAAAGATGGCACCATTGCCCTGGGTGGCAGCATAGGCCTTTCAGATTGACATGGGTCCAACAGCAGTGTGATCTCTGGGCTCCAACATAGGCCTAGGTGGTAGCCCAGTCTCGGGAGTGGGGGATGCAGGGTGAGGTAGTTGCATGACCCTTGATGGTAGCAGGAATCATGAATATCAACACTGATTCTGGCTTCGTTAGAACCACGGACCCAAACATGGCCCCTGGCCACAACCTGTACATCACCATGACCTCCAGGTGGTAGTGCAGGCCATTCCAATCTGTTTGGCTCTGGCAGCAGCATGAACCTTGGGCACCATCCTGGTCTTATGTGGGGGCCCAGACCCTGGGCATATGCCCAGGCTTCAGTGGTTAACAGAAGCCATGGGCATTGATGCAGATGTTGGCTCAGGTAGGATCACGGACCCAGACATGGTCCTTAACAGCAGCTTTGCAGGGAAGACACCATAGCCCCAGGTTATAGTGCAGACAACTCAGGTTGGCATGGCTCTAGCAGCAGCTTATCACTCAGGCCCCAACATGGTCACAGGTGGCATCCCAGAACCCTGAGATTCTTGTGACCTTTGCCGACAACATGAGCCATGGATATCGACACAGACCCTGGCTGTGGTAGGGCCATGGACCCAGACGTAATCCATAGCCACAGCTCAGGCCCAGCTGACACCATGGCACCAGTGGTAGCACAGGGCACCTAAGCATTGACCCTGCTGCAGGGTGGATTATTGTTTTTTTTTTTTTTTAAATAACACTATTTTTAGATAATTCTAGGAAAAGTCCAATTCCATGTATTTAGTTTTTACTTAGCTGTTTGTTTGTTTTGAGACAGGGTTTCTCTGTGTAGCCCTGGCTGTCCTGGAATTTTCTTGTAGACCAGGCTGGCCTCCAACTCAGAAGTCTGCTTGCCTCTGCCTCTGGAGTACTGGGATTAAAGATATAAGCCACCACCACCCAGCCTTGCTTAGCTTTCTTAAAAATGATTATTTTATTGTTTTGGGAGTTTCTGGAACACCCCAAACAACTCTAGGAGAGGTATCCTACACTTGGAACTAAGATTTTTATTTGGCGTCCTATGACTTTTTGGAAGAATATTTTTATCTTGTTTAGGGGAACTCCAATTGAACTCTCTATGTGAAAAAATACATATGAAGCTTATAAAATAGTAGGTTTCCATATGACTTCAAACATTCTTAGTGTTGTCATCATCCTCCCTGTCTCCTCCTGTGTCTTACCCTTTTGTCCCTCTTTGCCATTAAACCTTCCTAGCCATTGTTTGCCCCTTTCCCTCTATATCACCAGTGTTCTATCACCCCATTCCCTTTGGTTTATTAAGCACATGTTTAATATATATCCATAAACTCATCTACATTTTCTCAAATATTAACTATCACATCTCATCTATATGGAAATTAGTTTATTTCTGAAGCCATAGAACTGTCCTTTTCAGTTATTAGCACTCACACAGTGAAGAGGATTTCCTGGGACATTCTTTTTGATGTTATCCCATAAATGGAACAGTTGTTCTTTGTTGCAGCTGACTGGACTGTTTCCAAGACTGACTTCCTCTGCTCAGTGTATCATCATAGTTTTCAGCCTCAATTTTCTCTTTAGCTCCTGGATCTCTTCCAAGCCGAGCAGTTTCTAAGCATCTTAGGTTAGTGATCCCACTTCCCCCAAGTATTTTACTAGATTCTAAAGATGTCAGTAGGGGTGACATGAGGACAGCCAGAAAAGCCACTTTGACTATGCTATACTTTACAGAAAGAAATTTGTAACATAAGACACTAGGTGTAACAACAGAGTAAAAATAATCTAAGGTGAATTTTTTAAGTCAGTACTTTTCAAGCTATTGATGTAGCACCTGATTTTTAATTTCCAGTCTCTTAATAACAGGGCTTACACAGCTAACACATTTGTCACATATTTTGCTCAGATGCTTTGAAAGCATTATCTGATCACTTCTACAAAGGCTACAAGTAGCCACTCCCAGTCCCTGTACTATAGTAGAGCAGCATAAGTAAGATGACCGAACTGGTCTGTTAAGGTCGCGCTGAATAATGGTGTTGATCCTAAAAGCTGAGCATTGGAGCTTGGAAAAGTATATGATTTGCTTAATATTAATAACTGTTAAGTAGTTTAGTATAGGCTTATTCTATTCAAACCAAAATTTTGTCATGTCTGAGATGAATATTACTAATAATTTATAAAAATAAGAACTTTACTTCTGTGGTTGAAGTCTCTGGGGACTTAGATTTTCTATGTTTGGATTTCTGAAACAGCTATGGTCTACCTTTAGAATCAAGAAAAAATCAATACATATAAAAGTAAAATATCAAAACAGGAAGAAAAGAAATGTTGTACAATAGCGAAAAATGATAACATTTTAAAGTAGTTTATTTTTTTCATGTAATTAGAGTAATGGGTTATTTGGAGGAGCTAAAACCTGAAAAATTGTCAGAGACAGCATTGACGAATGGTTTATAGGTGTAATAGTCCTTGCTTTCTGTTTGTTGGAAAGTAGGAAAGAAATATTACAGACCTGGTTAATTTTTTAACAGAGATTAATCTTGATACTTTCTAAATATTTTAAGGTATAATTTATAAGGCTATGTACATGGGTTTATAAAAGTATGCTAGTTGTGACATTGTAGCCAGCTTTCCTTTGAGTGATGACTTAGATGGTAGAAAAACACAGGACTATGATAAAGTGACTGAGATTAGTGATAGTTGTGGTTAGAAATACCTCATCACTGTTTATGTGTTAGAAGGTAATTTTGAGCCTGTAACTAACTGTGTGTTTGACTGTAGCCATGGCTCTGGTTGGAGTCTCAATACTTGTTCATGTTTTAACCTTGGGCATGTTACTTAACCTCCATTGGCGTTGGTTTCCCATTAATAAAACAGAATTAAAACAGTGCTTTCCTTCCAAGACCATAATGAAGTTTAGAAACAGTCATTTATATAGCTTTCTGTGTCTCTGTGTGTGCATGTACAGTAGAAATGTAGACTAATATCTACTGAGTAATGAACTTTAAATAAAGACATATGTCGCCTCTGTTCTCATGATTAGAAGACACTTCATAAAATGTGTTTAACAGCAATGAGAAAATGGCTTTAAAATACCAACAGGGACTAGAGAGATCACTCAGAGGTTAAGATCATTGGTTGCTCTTTGAGAGGTCCTGAGTTCAATTCCCAGCAACCACATGGTGGCTCATAACCATCCATAATGAGATCTGGTACTCTCTTCTGATCTGCGGGCATACATACAGGCAGAACACTATATACAGAATAGATAAATAAATCTTAAAAAGTAAAATATCAACAGTGTCATGGTTGGTATCTGAAAAATGTCACCCTTATTTTTGTTGTTTTGTTTTTAGTTTCTCGGGACTAAAGGCTTTTGCATATGTTTAAGTTACTGTTTTCTCTTTTATAGTTTATCAGAGAAGATATGAAATATAAAGATGCTACAAATAAACATAGTCATCTGCACAGAGAAGATAAGCACATAACTGTTGAGGATTTGTGGAAACAGTGGAAAACATCAGAAGGTAAGACTGTGCAATGGTCTGAAGTCTCAGCTTGTCTGTTTCTGCCATGTTTGGCACTGGTAGTCCTACTAATTGCATATATTTTAATGAAATACCATAAGATCATATTTCTGTGAGAATATTTACATTAAAACTTTTCTTAGATCCTTTAGGTTACAGGCTATTTTTAGATAATTTGATATCATATACTAGACTAAGCAAGATAATGTCTGTTTGAGCTCATTGTGTGAGCTATTAAATGGTATTATAAATGTTTTATCAAATGAAACATAGTTGTGAATAATGCCTTAAGTCTTCAGGAGCCTAGGAATTTTAAGCTTTTCCAGAAGTCCTCTGTGAAGCCTGCTAATGCTGTAGTCTACCTTGTGCATTAAGGCTGTGCTCCAAGACCTCCAGAGGAAGCATCCTATGCATGCTGTTTCTTCAATGAAGAAACACTTCTTCAATGAAGTATAATTCATAAGTCAGGCACAGTAAGAGATTAATAGCAACAATAAGTAACATAGTAGAACAATGTATTGTAATAAATAACAATGTATTATAAATGAAAGTTCTTGGTGTGGCCCTTTTTGGCTGTCACAGAGCAGGTAGCATATACTGTGTGGATACTCTAGACAAAGGAATAATTAATGTTCCTGACAGAAAAGCACAGTATTTTTTATACTACTTAGAACACCCATTTAACACTTAATGGGTTGTTGGTTTCTGGAATTTTCCATCAGTGTTTTTCTCACTGAGATGAAATGTTGGTAACTGGAACTACAAAGAAGTCAAACTATAGATGAAAGATTCCAAAAGTTGCAGGATAAAATTTATTAATTTGTGTTTTGTTCCTTTTCTATTTCTCAGTTGCCCAGCTACTTTGTGAACAATAATTTTGTACAGCACAGAAAGCTATGACCTAAAGTTCGTAGACTTAGACACTAATGCTAGGAAGGTGCTAAAATTTAAGCAATTTAAATTCATTCAGTTTATTTTGTTTTTCAGTGTCAGTTAACCAAACTATCCCTTTTCTAGTATTCCTATTTTACAAATGTCAAACAGTTGTGTATGACACATATTTTTCTCTAGAAGTTTGAATAATGAAACTAAGAAGCTGAACAGACTTTTATAAAAACATAAATAAATGAATTACTAGTTGATTGTCAGTTATAACATCTAGAAAAGGCAAAATACAAAAGAGGGCGTGTAACTGGAGAACTGGCTAGGGACTCTCTGGAGGAAGGACTATCTCACTCAGATAGAGTCTGCCAGGTCACACACTCTGCATGGCCAGTCATCACATATAGAACCTTTTTTCTTGGGGGAAAATATTTTCAAGGCAAAAAGGAGATGTCAAAAATGCCTTTGTCTGTATTTCTTACTTATTTTACTTATATGGATTGTTGTAGACTTGTAGCCTTGGCTTTTACAAACAGACAGCCTTTAAAGCCTTCCCAATAGAGGTCTACAATATGAAATATGCCAAAGGAAAAACTCTGTGGTGGGAATTTCATTATAACTGTGTCCTGTGCCAACTATTCACCTAGCAGAGTAACTTATTTAAAATATAAATCAATACCGTAAAGTGATTGAGAGAAAAAAGGCATCAAGAATCTTCACAAAGTACTGTAAGCCATGATCTGCACTCAGCCCATGCTGCAGTCACTGTCCCCTCTTTGCGCTTTTCTATTGGTCTGTCTCCTTCATTTCCCACTCCATCCTCATGAGACTGGCTTTTCAGTGTGCAGATACAGATGTTCTTTCACCTAGCTCCCGTATCTCCTTTCTTAAAGTCCTTATTAAGGGCTAGTCTCCCAATGGGGTCTACTTTTTTTCCTTTTTGGTTTCCTGATACACATGATCCTTCATATCGTGTTTTTCCTGTCACTTACTGTGTTCTAAAGTATTTCAGAATTCTTCATGACACCTGCTCCTTACCCACTAGATAAGGCTTAGAGAGAGAAGAGCCTGTTGTGTTTATTAATAAATCTCTCCATGAGGGAGACTCTGTCCTCAAAAGTCTTCTTGTTCCCCATCTAGTGACTTTGTTTTGAGTAGATCTTTTATGATCTGTGAGAATGTTTCTGATTTATTTTCTTGTAGTTTAAGACTTTTCCAAGGTAAATAGGCCATTAATCTTCTTTTTCTCTTATGGTTTCACTTCTGCCCTTATCTCCTTATTTTATATGTGGTAGAAGGATACTTTACTGTTAAATCCAAATTGCTTGCCTGACCTCTCACCTCATTTGCTTAGAGGTAAAGGCCTGAGAGTGGTTGTTAAGTTTCTGCTAGCACATATGCCCAGAAGGAAGGAGAAAGGAAATGGTATGTGGAGAATTTAGGCAATATGACCTCACTAAAGAGTTTACAGAGATGGGGTTGAGTCTCTCTACTCACTGTTATTAAAGAGTCAGGTAGAGCTGGGCATTGTACATTAGAAATAATAAGTGAATACAACTTGGTGAAAGGGACTACCTTGTTAAGTTGGGTTGAGGTTGCCTAAAATTAAAAGTTAAATCAGACATGGGTCCAGTCTATTCCAAACAAATTACTGAGTAGGGAGAGAAAGAGAGAGAGACGGGGAGGGAGGGAGGGAGGGAGGGGGAAGAGAAAGAGAGAGGTTGAGATTGACATTATAGTATAAGGTGATAGGTCCAACAGTACAATTAAGGCTAGAGTATGGATGGAGCTGGTTCATAGACGGGAGTGACTAGCTCATTAGTAGGATTATTTGCAGAAGTGATAATTGGAATAGACCTTGGAAATCGACTAGTAGGTCTTAGAAAGGAAGACAGGTTATATGAGAAGGGCAGTTGGGGGTGGATAGGATGAAGATATTCTGTGTACATATGAAATTGGCAAAGAATAAAAAAGTGAAAAGCAAAACTAAAAATAAAAGGAAAATTATAAAGTCTACCACGAATGATTCCATCCTTAATTATACTCAAATATATTTTAAAATTAGAAGTAAAGGTAGCGTGCTATGGAAAGTATATGGGCTTCCAAGTGATATAATATAAGAGATGACTCACAGGGCTGGAGAGATGGCTCAGTAGTTAAGAGCATTCACTGGCTGCTCTTCCAGAGGTCACAGGTTTGATTCCCAGTGCCCACAGCTCACAACGATCCCTAATTCCAATTCTCGGGGATCCAGTACCTTTTTCTGGCCTCTGAAGATACCTCAGACACACATCTAATGCACAGACATTCATGTAAACCAAACACCTGTACATATAAAATGAAAAAATTTAAAAGTAATAAAAGTGGCTCACTTATAGAATGTGAGTCTTCTATAATGTAAATGAAATGTTTTCTGACACACCAGATGGTCGCATAGCAAGTGCTGTCTCTGTAGTATTTCTGTATGAACTCAAATGTTGAGCTATGCTTAATTTCTTCTTCTTCTTCTTCTTCTTTTTTTTTTTTTGAGACAGGGTTTCTCTGTTTAACTTTAGAGCGTGTCATGGAACTTGCTCTGTAGACCAAGCTGGCCTCGACCCACAGAGATCCACCTGCCTCTGTCTCCTGAGTGCTGTAATTAAAGGCATGCAACCCACCTGGCTTAAAGGTTTTCAACAAGTTGAAAAGATATGTAAAAATTTAGAAAAATTTAGCTCAAAACAACTTAAATTATCCTTAATTCTGAAAGTGGAGAGATTTAGGCATTTTATAATTATTATTTTCTAGTGTAAATAAACTTAAACACAAAAATGATCTTGGGTATTTTCTTTCAGTTTATGACAGCAATTTTTTGTAAGCATTACATAAAAGTAAAAATTCTTGGCCCATGGACCTTGAATTCTTAAAAATGAGGCTCATTATAAATGATTATTCTGCATTGAACCTTTTTATATGAAGGTTTTTCTTCTGGGTATGTTAGTGTGGGTGACTTTCTAAATACTGATAAAAGCTACTAGCCTTTTCTAGTTCTTCACTGTTGATTTTTACATAGAGACTGAATTGGAAAACATAGATGGACTGAGTAGATACTGTTTGGCATTACTGTCAGAGCTACTCAAAACATAGAACTTGGAGATCCAATAGCATTTTTGTGATATCCAGCAACAGAATACTTTGTCTATTTGTAGTATGCAAGGCAGTTACTAGTAGGATCCAAGGAAGTGTCAAGCCATTTCTTCAAGGAGTGTTAACATTTTTCATAAACACAGATGAAAAGCTAGATAGCGATGTTAGAATTCTTGGTTATATACTACTTTAATGGTGGTGAAATAGGAGTTTAGTAATATGGATGGATTTATTCTAGGGGATGAATCAATATTGTGGAAGGTATACATTTTCTTAGAAATAAGAAAGGCAGGGATATACAGGCTAGCACATTTAACATGAGTAAACAACTCTTTTAAAATGGTGCATTTAGTGTTAAATTCTTTGAATAAGCACCATTTATTAGCCAGACATATAATTTCTTTTACTGTATGTGATAGGTCGCCAAATACTTATTTCTGTATCTTAGTTCTATAGTACTGGTGAATACTGTCAACTACATCTAGAAGGCAGAAAGTTGTTCATAATCAGAGCTAAAGTGCTTCAAGCAGTGCTGAGCTCCAAACAAATGCTCATTAGATGTCTGTTTCTGTTATTGTTTCTGTGAGGAAAATGTGACCATAGTAAGTTAAACAACAGAGTGTCACACTAAGATTCTGCCCTTATACCAGTGCCAATGAACCCAATAGTTATTGTTGGAAGGAGGCTGTTGGTTTGTATGTGGTCTCAGTAGCAAAGATAAAGGAGTTCTGGAGGATGGCATCACAGTTAAGAGTAGCAGGGTTTACTGTGTATGTTATATACAGCAGTTCATGTAGCATTTTTGTTATCACCTCTAAATATTAGTCATTGAAGCTCCCAAGAAAGCCTTGTAATAGACAAGAATTTGTAGAAAGACTTATTCACTCAGACAAGAAGATGATTACCATTGTGTGGATAAAATGTGGATTTGACTGGGAAGAGTGGATCGTCATGGATTCTACAAACATTATTACAGAAGGACGTGGAAACTT